TTTAACACACCTTATTTGAAGTCCTTGAATTTCAAAATAAAGATTCAATGCCTCCATGAAAAATTCCTGGATTCTTGGTCCAAGAAAGGGTTTGAACCCTGTGAATAAGTACTGTTGGGTTAAATCAGTCCCTCAAAAAACTCAAACTCTCTAGAATATAATAATATTCAAATGTAAGCTCTTTGTTCTCTAACAACATTTTGAAAAACTGCAAATGTCAAACCTGCAAAAAGTTTTGGTATGTCTTGGTCACTGCTTTTATACCTTTGTACCCCCTTTCCCTGTTTATATCCATGGCTCATGTAGTGAAGGATTTGCGGCAAAAGGTAGCATAGCCAGAAAAGGGAAGGGAAGATAAGCAGTTTAAAGGTTTCCCCATTCTATTTTGTTGCTATGGTTCGACATGGCAAAATGATCGCCAACTGTCACAGGCTATAGGTGGGATGCAATCTCAGCATGCATGATGCTTGAATCAATTCCTGTAGTGGGTGGGCACTTACTCCTAAAATTCTTTAATTTTTTACGAAATACGGATTTAGGAAATTTTTTTCTTGTGAAATGTAAAATCCTGGGCTTTGGAATCCGGAATCTAAGTTCCACTGACAAGGAATCCGTAATCCAGTACCAGGAGTCCGGAATCCAAGACTGTCTTGGATCACCTTAGCATAGGGCGATTCAGTCACCCACCTCAGCCTGTGATATACATGTATCGTTATCTCAATAATTGTTTACTTCCCAATTTAATGGAATTATTTCAATTCAAGAAGGTTTAAAAGCTACTAAAGGACTTAATAAGTGTTAGTGTTTATCCACATGGACAAGGGAATTTTGCATGTAAGGAGAGGTAGAAGTCTGCGTAACAACTTAAAAAATGTTAGAAAATCATCAAATTCGTGATGTATAGACTTTCGTAAATTTAATATCTTAGGATATTTTTCTAAGACAAAAATAGTATTTTGCTTGTTACGTAAAAAGTAACTTAAAATGAAATGTACTATGTGAATGAGCTTTTAGCCCTCAATAAATTGAAGTCCTTGATTAGTTGTTTCATCCTTTTGTTATTTCTTTGAAATCACAGTTGCAATCCCCGTCGCCGGCAATCAAAGTAAAGAATAGCTCCTTCCCGCAATGTAGTCAACAAATCTCTGCACGATCAAGGATGTGATCAATATTTACAGGACATATAATTTCAACTCTATAAATCCTGCGAGTACCAACAATTGCAGTTAAAAAAAAAAGTATGTGTATATTACTGAAAAACAGGGGTATAAACCCTTCGCCCTGCACCCGCTTGCCTCCCCATTCCAAAATTCTTTTATAAAAACAAGAAGCTCGGAAATGTTCTTTTCGGCTTTGATATTAATGAAGTTACCACGAAGATACACTGTAACCACTGTATTACCAGTATGCAACTCACAAAACGGCTTATTTCAGAAGACCCTTGTCAAAGACTAAAGAGTCAAAAGCTTGCTATCATCATTCGCAAAATCCGTGACGACAATCAACGTCAACGTGATGTATTACTGAAAGGCCGGGATGGCGTCCTATCATTTATCGTGCCGCGTTTTGCCGCACAAGTAGATAAGTTGAGATTCAAGGGTTTTATAATTAACGGCTACATAAATCGGGTATTAGATAATGGTAGACTTTTATTGAGTTTAGCGTCTACCATTGAGTTTATGGTTGTTAATTATTATTCATTCAAACTATTTCCCCGATTCTGATAAGCTAAAAGCACACGCATAATTCACCATAACCAGCTACTGATGACCAAATTTGGAAGAATTTTGCGTTTAATGAACCGATGACGTCAAAAGTTCAGCTTTCTTCTTGCAGGTTAATGCACCGTTAACCGAGAAGACCTGGGGACGAGGTTGAGTTGTTTTGGTTTTGAAAACAAAATGGTGGACATTTCACTCGTTTCAAGACTAAGAAATAGGCAAGGAAGAAAGAAAGGCAAATCGGCAAGAAAGCAAGAAGACAACTCGAAGCCATCTGCTACTTGGCTAAATTCGGCTTTCGTATCATATGAAGAATTATGGAGATCTCGGAGGGTGTTGTCACCCTCCTCGATCTCCATAATTCTTCATAAGATACTCAGCTTCATTCATTAATTGTTATAACATTTATGATAGACACATGAGTGAGGTCATTGTAAAGAACAGAGGAACGGCTTAACTGAGAGCATAAAGAAAAATAACGAGCGAGTGTCAAAACTAAAGTTTTAATAGAACGATAAGTACAAATACGTCGAAATGTTCTATCCACACATAACACACCTTGGACAGGACAACTTGCTATAACAAAGACCCAGTAAGGATTAAAAAATACGGACAGGAGTTCAAATCCTTACGAACGATCATGGCCAAATATAGCTCGCGGACTGGTAACGTTGAATTATTAAAATACAAAAGCTCGAGTAATACGCAAGATAGGAATCGCTATCTTGAACAACATTACCTTCCCCTTAGAATGGATACTTTCAATTAGCCCTTGCCAAGACCGCAAATCTCATATTTTTATAGAGAGTACATATTAATGTCCGCACATCCCATGATTCGCCTTAACTTGTAACGCAAAACAAAACCAGAAGCTACATACTTCCAGATAAATACCAAGACGACGTTTTGTGGGTCATAAATAGAGAGCTCTTTTCTTAGAGTACAAGAATATTTTTCAGTGGTGGAGCTCAAGACTTGACTTCTACTTTTTTGGGTTAATTTAGAATAAGGTCTGCTTCAAACGCGTTACTGCCGTGTTGAGCTGGCTCGACTGTGGCTCGACAGCAGCACGACACTAGCACGACTTGGTTTCAGACGTCGAATCCAATTCAGTCGAATAGAACGGCTGTTCCCGAAAACGAAACACAAAAATAAAGAAACGGTTTAGCAAACTTTAAAATGTATTCTGATGTAATAATTCATGAATTCAGTTCGGCATGGCGGTTGCACGACGTTTGAAACCAAATCGAGCTACTGCCGTGTAGCACGGCAAGGCTTGCCGTGCTACACGGCAGTAGCACGACTTGGTTTCAAACGTCGCGCTACTGCCGTTCTAAAGTCGAATTTAATACGATCAATTGAGTTGGGCACAGCAGTAGCACGATGTTTGAAACGGCCCCAACTTACTTAACAAAATCTAAAAAATTATCAATTAATTAAATTTCTTTTCATTTAAAATTATAAGTTAATTAAAACTTATAACTGCATTAAATACCATTATTATGTGTAATCAAATGGCGACGAGTGACATTAGGAAGTATTTTCACGCGCATTTTGTCATTAAGTCGAGGGAAATTATTGGAATTTTGAAAACACATTCGAAACTATTTTCTAATTCACAAGTACGTCATTTGACTTCCTGTTAATATCATGGGTGACAAATATAGTACACAATGGAAACTTTAGACTCGTATCGAGAACACTACACTCTGAAAAGTTTACAGCATAATTTTAAGTTCACAATCTTCTTTATTGTTAGATTAAAATTTAAATACCATTGGCATTCTTCTGGCTTTTAAAAATGGTGCTCTTTCGTACCCTGAGATCTTCATTCGAAACATTCTTTAAAACTGGCCCCAGGAGTTCAAAATATGGAGAACGCTATTCACTGGACTCCTTTTGGCTTGTCACGCAATCCCTTCCTATCGTGCGTGACGAACTTCTAAGAACGTCTGCAGAGGAGGCTACGCAATTGGATGCCTTTAATAAGTTATCTGGTGGATAGCGCCATTCAACCTTTGAACAAGCAGAGCCTGAGTACCACCTTGGCACCGAGATATAGAAAACGTTGCCATGGGGATTTTGTCATTTCACATGTAAAAATACAAATTAACGCTGAAATTTGGCGCCAAATTTAGGAGTTATTTGTCACTCATGATATTACTGTGCTGAATATTTTAGACTCCATCTTTCAAAGTAAAGACATGTCCATAAATAGAAGTGATTCATCGTTCATGAATTCCATTATTGCTTGCCAAAGTTTCTTGGAGAACCTTCGACACCGGTAACATCGGACCTACAGTAAACAAAGAAGAAGATGAGACGTTTCAAAAGGCTAAAACAGAACGGCTTGATCGCTGAAAAAAGAGCGATCATTGCGATAGTTGAAATCCCAACGATCGAGCGACCTTTTCCATTAGAACATCTCTGTTTTGTTTAGTTTTGAATTTCTTTTTCTAATGGCACAGAGGACGTCGTAGTAAAGCTTCCCAGATTTTTTTTGTAAGAATGTTGAAAAAAGTCGTGGTAACTGTTACCAGTCTCCTCAAAATACCGTGTTTCCACAATTAAATAAGGCAATAAAAAAACAGAAAAGAAAATAAGAGCCCCCCCCCTTCCCCTCCCCTTACTAGACGATGGTGTGGACGAATAATCAGAAGAAATTTGAGTTCAAGCTTTTTTTTTCGCAAAATTAGACACCCCAGAAAGCTTCCTTTTACTTTGTTGCACCAGCGAAAAAAAACATGGTTATTTTTATTGATGGAGGATAGTCCCTCTTCCGATGGCAAAGCCTCGCCTTTCGTCCACGTGGAAACGCAGTTTCGGGCACCAAAACTGCAGAAAACGCCGGCTTCTCGTTTACTAATGGAAGGACGGAAGTTTCGAATACGATTGATGTCATACATCATGTTCTTTAAGGGATGCTGTCTAAATCCAACGTTTTAGTGTTTTCATGTAGACGGGCTGTACAATTAAACGATTCAAATACGCTTTGTGCGGACGCGCAATCACCTCGCAATCACCGCGGACTGTGACGCGGTGATTCTTCTCTCTCCCCGTCGCGTCTCGCCTTTCTGGCGTGGGGTGATTTTCACGCGCGCTCGCATTTCGCTCGCTCTACTATCCCTGAGGAAAAATGGGGACTACTCGTAGTCTAACCGTATTTCGATCTCGCAGAAAAAAAAAGCGGACTTTTCACCCCTTCATGGCAGTTGTTATAGACAACACCAGGAAAAAGAGACGTAAGGAAATGAAAAGAGGGCAAACGTCTTTATTCTTACCATCAGTGTAATGATTGTGGCAATTAACTGGTGCAGTTTTGTGCGTCATCATTATCTGGAAAGAGAAAATAATAATTAACCTCGTGACGGTAGTTAGATCTCTGTTTCAAAACTTAAAGTGTGATGAAGAAATATACGCCTTTATCAGTTGACGCAAAATACTCAAATTGAACAACAACAAATTATGTAAAAAAATTATGTTGACAGAATGATCGCATTGTTTCTTTTAAAGCAAACTATAACTACTAACACCTCAGGGACCGAATGCACGCTAATGAGATTCAGGCCCTCTATGAGAAACTTCACCAAGTGTCCCCTAGCCCTAATTCTCACCTAAACGGTAGCAATTATGTCAAAGGTGAAGTAATATGACTTCACGTTGTGCATCTATTACAAATAATTGTGTGTAATATGAAGTAGCCAAGGCCTGAGTTACGTGCATTGTATGAAAAAATTTTCCTTTGGGTTTTCAAGTAGCATTTAATCTTAACGGCGCAAATTTTCCTTGCGTAAACGGTCGCATTTTTAAGACACTTAGAAAATTTTTGACCTGTTATTGAGGGTGTTTCTATTAAAAAGAAAGAAGATCGAAACCCAGGGTCGAACCCGGACTTCCAACCGGAACCTTTCGTATCCTAATCTTTCTCCCTTACCACTACACTAGAACTGAACTGTCTTTCTTAACTGATACATCAACAACAGGAGAGAGATCCTAGCCCTTTCCATAACTTTCAACGTAAATTCAACTTGGGCTATTCAAAAACGTATCATTTGCATCGACCGTTAAGAATGGCAACTATCGTTTACGAAAGGGAAATAGGCCTAGGCGCCAGTGTCCTTTAAAAAAGTACAACTTTTTGTCTTGTTTAAGTATCACTTAGTAAACTCAATCAATTTACCTTGAAGCAGGATGACGCAAAAAAGCTTCGGAGATCACTGCCAACAACATTCTCAATAAAGCGTCGCAATGGAAGGAGGTGTGAAGATGGAGCAGTCCTGTAACAAAAATTCAACTTAGTATCTATGGCCCCTTGAAAAACGTTAGAAATAGGGTCTTTATTTAACAGAACACCACCCTGACCCTCAAATGATCGCTACCCCAGAATTTGCTAATGCTGATGAGACCAATGCTACGTTCTTCCAGCAGCTGGCTTTCTCAGCTCTTTAATTTCTATTTTTATGGTGGAAACAGAAAATTGTCTTTCTGATTTTCTCGACAACTCCATAAAGCAATATTTTATTGGAACAATAACTATCATAACCTGTGCCCCAGAGTGGAATAGCAGACAAAGCTTATGGCCCAGATGGAATTATTATTATTGGCTTATGGCTCCAGTATGCCTGTAGTGCATGGGACCCGCACTACCAGAAAGATAAAACCGCTCTAGAAAGGGAACAACGAAAAACGGCTCGCTTTATCACGGGAAATTACGATTGAACAGCGAGCGTGACGGGAATGCGGCAAGATTTAAAGTGGGACACACTTGAAGCAATTAGAAGACACGCAAGGCTGTCTGTTATGTAATATATCAAACATGAGATGCAGTGTTTCATCACCAGATGAAACACCGAGAAGAGAGTTGAAAATACGACGCGCAGCGGAGTATTTTTGACGAACTTCGAGGTGTTTCATCTGGTGATGAAACACTGTGTCGAATGTTTGATATTTCTTCTCAAACAAAATCATTTTTGAAGGAGAAATTAAGGATGCAAATACTAAGCAGTGTTTCATCCGATTTCCAAACACTCATTAAACATTAATTTCCTTTGTATTTTCTTAATGAATTATTAATGAGTTTGAGAAGTATAAGATGTACTATGGTTTCCTAGTTGGGAAATGGGAGGACTATTTGATTCCCAATAGAGAAAGGAGAACACGAGGAAGCCACGATTTTAAGTTTATTGTACTGAAAGGACACAAGGATATTTTTAGATTTTCTTTATTTCCCACGACAATGACTGAATGGAACAAACTTTCGGAAAAAACTGTTACCAGTCAATTTCTCTCTATTTTTAAAAGTACAACATTCGGCTATCTTTAATTAGCAGTTCATTTTAGTTTTTATTCGTAGTTTTAGCTTTTCTTGTCATCTTCTATTTTTTAGTGTTTTAGAGTTGGCGTGACGTCCCTCGTGGATGTTGCCGACAAAACGATATTTAGATTTAGATTTACATTTAGAAAATATCTTGCAGCTACACATTGCTTTGATGAAAGAGGCTGTCGATGGGTCGAGAAATAAGCTCCGTGTAAAGACTTGCGCAATCTAAGCGAACGAGGCGAGGGAGAACTACAGAAACATCTTCCTCATTTGCGATATACTGTAGGAAAGAAAACAACGGCTTTCATAGGATACTCTGAAAATCGATGAAAGAAATTCCAGTACCAATACTTTTCGATAACCAAACCACACAGGGAAACGATTTCACATTTCTGGGCTTTTTTTCGATGACTAACCAACCTTCAAAAAGATATTATCATTTAAAGTAAAGACCAAATGAAGTTTTTAGTCCTAAAGACCGTACTGTTTTTCTTTTCATGTAAACCTACTTTTAAGTTTAGCTTACCACAGTGTTAAGAAGTCTTCGACCATGTGGTGAAGGCGATGTGGTCTGGGAAGCACAATGCCCTTTCTTTCCTTAGGTAAAGCTGCAGGAAAAGAAAAACTTCCCTCTTAATCAAGCGATCAAGTGTGGTCTCCACAAAACTCAAAAAAGTAAACTGGAGTTCTTTGACAGGGTCTCTAACATATTTCCCCAAATAAACGCCCTACCCTCAACCCGAGGAAAAGGGCACTCCCACCGACTCACACAGTCACATTAATAGTAAGAAATGTCTCACCCATGAAGGAGCCTCCAACCAACCAACCTATGCCACTGATATTAATATTATAAAATCCCACCTGGGGCTCAGATTTTTTCTGTGTCCTCTTATGGTTGATTCTTTACATCTCCCTTTATTTCCTTTATAATATTAATATCACTGGCATAGGTTCGTTGGTTGGAGGCTCCTTCATGGGTGAGACATTTCTTGCTATTAATGTGACTGTGTGATACAGTTAAGCCTTAATGTGTTGCTTGTGATGGACTGTGTGACTGCGAGATGCGGTTCGAAAGTCCAACCCACAAAAAATGACCCTTGCTCGCTAACGATGTCCTCAGTAGCTCAGAGGTTTTAGAGCATCCGATCTAGAACACGGAGGGTCGTGGGTTCGAATCCCATCTGGGGCTCAGATTTTTTCTGTGCCCTCTTATGGTTGATTCTTTATATCTTCTTTTAGACAATCAACCAATCAAAATCACTACCCGGTTTTCGGGTAGTGAGTGACGTCACTGGACGGCAGTAACGGCCGGTCGATTCAGACGTTGTTGAGAGGAGAAAACGACCCGAAGCAATCGGATGAATTTCAGGGTGTATAAACGGCACATTTCGTCTAAAATAAGACGCGTCTTATCTTAGAACAGCCCTGAACACCTGTTCTTAGATAAGACTCGTCTTAGCTAAGACGAGAAAAACTTCGTATAAATGACCTTCGCGAGCTTTCGCGTCTTTCATACGACGCGAGCGCATATTACGCTTTCGTTAATTTTTGGCGGGAAAAATTATCGCTTGCCCTGCGGTAGACTGGCAGGCCACTGGCGGGGAAAAATTGTTTACAACGCGATTTCGTTTCCTTGTCTATTCTGCTTTATCTTTTTCTTCACTCAAATACAATGAGCACGCCGTTAAAGGTAAAAAGAAACACTTGGTCCATCGCGGAGGAAAGAGATTTTTTGTTATTATGTAAGGAGAAGGCGATAACAGACCTCATGGACAAATGCGTGACATCTGCTGGTGTAGGTTGACCCTTTTAACTCTAAACTATCACAATTTATATTTACTAATCAAATTGCTATCTTCGTATTATAAACTTACAAGTTTAAGTGTACAGAAGATTTAGATAAGACATGCTCGTATAAATGGTCCAGTTCGCGTCTTATTTAAGACGCGCCTTATTTTTCTTCGTATAAATGGCCCTAATATGTCGACCGCCTCAAGAAAACACGTTTTGATGCAGTATTTTGCTTTCGGGGGGGGTTTTCTGCTGCTTTTGCATCGGAAAGAAGCCTATAACATTAAGTATGATTTTCCTTGCTCATTTTGTCTTTGACTGTGTAAGGTATTCTTCGATAAGGGACGTTTTTTACTCAGATAGAAGCTAAATTCCCAATAACTTGACGTAACGTTGAGTGGAGAGTGGATCAAACCTCAAACAGCAAACGCCAGACATCAAACAGGGGTTTCACGTCCGCCGTAAAAGGGAAAGGCGTGTTGCTAAATGTCTTTATTATTCATTCAAAATATTTCTCCGACTCTGATTGGCTAAAAGCACACGTTTAATTCACCATAACCAGTTACTGATGACCAAATTTGGAAGAAATTTGACTTTAACGAGGAAATGACGTCAAAAATGAGGGCACTCCCACCGACTCACACAGTCACATTAATAGTAAGAAATGTCTCACCCATGAAGGAGCCTCCAACCAACCAACCTATGCCACTGATATTAATATTATAAAATTCCATCGCTCAGATTTTTTCTGTGTCCTCTTATGGTTGATTCTTTACATCTCCCTTTATTTCCTTTATAATATTAACATCACTGGCATAGGTTGGTTGGTTGGAGGCTCCTTCATGGGTGAGACATTTCTTACTATTAATGTGACTGTGTGATACAGTTAAGCCTTAATGTGTTGCTTGTGATGGACTGTGTGACTGCGAGATGCGGTTCGAAAGTCCAACCCACAAAAATGACCCTTACTCGCCATCGAGTCCTCAGTAGCTCAGAGGTTAGAGCATCCGATCTAGAACACGGAGGGTCGTGGGTTCGAATCCCATCTGGGGCTCAGATTTTTTTGTGTCCTCTTATGGTTGATTCTCTACATCTCCTTTTAGACAATCAACCAATCAAAATCACCAACCGGTTTTCGGGTAATGAGTGACGTCACTGGACGGCATTAACGGCCGGTCGATTCAGACGTTGTTGAGAGGAGAAAACGACTCGAAGCAATCGGATGGATTTCAGGGTATATAAACGGCATATTTCGTCTAAAATTAGACGCGACTTAGCTAAGACGCGTCTTATTTTAGAACAGCCCTTAACACGTGTTCTTAGATAAGACGCGTCTTATTAGCTAAGACGAGAAAAACTTCGTATAAATGACCTTCGCGAGCCTTCGCGTCTTTCATAAGACGCGAACGCATAGTACGCATGCGTTAATTTTTGGCGGGAAAATTATCGCTTGCCCCGCGGTGGACTGGCAGGCCACTGGCGGGGAAAAAATGTTTACAAATTACAACGCGTTTTAGTTTCCTTGTCTATTCTGCTTTATTTTTTTTCTTCGCTCAAATACAATAAGCACGCCGTTAAAGGTAAAAAGAAACACTTGGTCCATCGCGGAGGAAAAAGATTTGTTGTTATTATGTAAGGAGAAGGCCATAACAGACCTCATGGACAAATGCGTGACATCTGCTGGTGTAAGTAGACCCTTTTAACTCTAAACTATCACAATTTATATTTACTAATCAAATTGCTATCTTCGTATTATAAACTTACAATTCAAAAGTAAGTTAAATTAGTTTAAGTGTACAGAAGATTTAGATACGACATGCTCGTATAAATGGTCCAGTTCGCGTCTTATTTAAGACGCGCCGTATTTTTCCTCGTATAAATGGCCCTAATATGTCGACCGCCTCAAGAAAACACGTTTTGATGCAGTATTTTGCTTTCGGTGGGTTTTTCAGCTGCTTTTGCATCGGAAAGAAGCCTGTAACATTAAGTATTATTTTACTTGCTCATTTTGTCTTTGACTGTGTAAGGTATTCTTCGATAAGGGACGTTTTTTACTCAGATAGAAGCTAAATTCCCAATAACTTGACGTAACGTTGAGTGGAGAGTGGATCGAACCTCAAACAGCAAACGCCAGACATCGAACAGGGGTTTCACGTCCGCGGTAAAAGGGAAAGGCGTGTTGCTAAATGTCTTTAATATATTTTTCCGCCCTTCTCATTTTCCTGTGGTAACAGGTTTTAGTTGTGGTGACTGGACGCTTAAACGTTTTACTGTGAATCTTTTGAAATTCTTTTTCATAACGAGATTTAGCCAAAATAAAGTTTCAGTTTGTTAAAGAAAAAATTCACCTAGCGTACCCAGCATTTGCGAATAAAGCGCCTGCCCTTAAAATGAAATTTTAAAAAGCACCAGGGCGCTTTATCAATGAAATACCGTATAGTTACCTGTGGGTGGGTGCTTGTAGAAGTAAAACACAGGATGCAAAAAGTTAGAATTATGCGCATCAGACGGCTCTCCTGTAGCCCGATCTGGGCGAAAAGTGTCCTTTCTGCAAACAGTAATAAAATAATGCCATACTGTAACATAAGCTTCGAAACCAAGTCCTGCCTAAACTTTTTAGCGATTAACGATAGTTTAGGATGGGGTGGGGTCACTAAACAATTCGGGAACTTTAACATGTTATATGCGGAGGATGATCTGCAAAACGTATTTCTTAATCCAGTGTTGGACATGCCAAACTTCCAAGTGATCGATCAAGCTTAAACCTTTGGCGACCCCCAGGGAGTTAGACTACGAGTAGTCCCCCATTTTTCCTCAAGGATATTAGAGCGAGCGAAACGCGAGCGCGCGTGAGAATCACCCCACGCGAGAAAAGACGACACGCGGCTCTCCCCGCCGCGTGTTGCCTTTTCTCGCGTGGGGTGATTTTCACGCCCGCTCGCGTTTCGCTCGCTCTACTATTCCTGAGGGAAAATGGGGGACTACTCGTAGTATACCAGGGAGTTGGCGAAAAACCGCATTTTCAACAACTCCTCTTTTCTTGACTAGTTTTCGGCGTTAGCATAAATGGCTTAAAATAAGTTGGCAACACTAATAAGGACACTGATATTTTGCAGCAGCATCAGCAAGGATGGATCTTTGGACAGATACCTCATTTTGGAAATTCTGACTTGCTCATAAAAGACCAAAAATAGTTCAAATTTTGGCTAATGCGCACGTGCAAAAAATGGAAGCTAAATGGGTTCAGAAAGCAAAGCGAGCTTCGTTAAACATGAAACGAATACGACCAAAGCGGTCGTCAGAGAGTTCACGAGTTAAGTCTTTGATTAAGGTAAGTCAAACACACGTTTCAGTGTATGAAAGTAAGGTGGAGTGGTGTGACAGCAGTGACTCATTCAATGTACGAAACTTAATAGTGCTTGGTTGTTTTGAAGATTAGCTTGCTAACTATGTGCTTGTCGTGATGGAATATGGAGTGTGATTTTATTAATTTTAAGAGGCTGGGCCATCTCTGTTTATAGATAACATTTTTAAGTATCTTTTTTTCTGCCAAAGTAAACTTACTAGTTAGGGTCACCGGTTTCTAAGACTACAGCATGGGGATAATATCTCATGGAAGTCTGTTTTGTTCTACAGAAATTACCTCTGTGATGTCTACTCGAGTAAATGAATGAAGGAACAACAAAAGTAATGCTAACCCTGCTCCGGAAAAGTCTTTGCCATATTCCATGTTGAGGACTATCATTGGACCAGCTGGGCGACCCGTGTACTCTGCAAACCGTAAGCAATACCACGTCATGTATGTTAAGGAGTTAAACAACCGACTTCAAAACATTTTTTTTTTCAGTTTGACTGAGTATCTCTCAGTATCCAACAAGTTAGCCGAACAAGCTGGCTGGATTTATTGCGCGCAACTGCTTAATTGGTGAAAATCTCTTGCTGCGTGTCATGAGCTTCTGCTACTGCTCCGCCGCGCGAAAAGTTTAAAAAGTTTTCTGCCACCTACGCCAGTTTTTTCAACAAGGCAGCTCTCTCCAAACAACTATTTTCCATTCCCAGGAATTAAAGTTCTGCCACGGTTAAAAAAAACACAAAGTAACGTTCAATTCTCATTTATTCGACATTCTAAAATCCAATCACGAATTTAGTTCGCCAAACCGAACAGGCG